GAGAGAGAGAGAGAGAGAGAGAGAGAGAGAGAGAGAGAGAGAGAGAGAGAGAGAGAGAGAGAGAGAGAGAGAGAGAGAGATATGTGTAACATTTCTTTTAATCTGTCTACATACATTTTACGAAAAATTTATGCATAATAATATTTTTCACCTAAAATTAAGAATTACAACACATATACAATACAATTCTAATTAGTGATAATAGAAAATATGTTACTTATAAAAACTACACACTATTAATTTCAGATTTGAAAAATAAAATTCAACCTCCAACATACAATTTTTTTTATGATGTTGTAATTATAAATACACACAATAACTACCTATTGATACTGAAGTTACTTTGTTCCATCTCCTCCATGTAAAATATTGTGTACCAGCATTTTTCTTTGCATGATGCTTCACCTCAAAGACGGTGGTCTTATGATATAAAATCTATTACTTCTAAAACTTTGTATTATTAAGTCCATAATTTGAATCTGTATATACCCGCACAGAGTGCGGACCAATCACCTAGTTTTTTTTTTAAATCAAAGGGAAAAAATTAATTAATGAAAATATGGTTTTGGGAATCGAACCCCCCCCCCCCCCCACACCTCCACTTTGCTAATAGGTATGCTCTAAATGGACTCACGAATTAGTTACAACTTTTACTTAATTGAACTTTCATAAAATTTCTGATTGGATACAACACTATAAAGAAACTAAAGAAAGTGTTGTATTTTGTATAAGATTCCATGAAGCATATACGTATAGTATGTGATGTATCATCAGATATCGTACGGTCACAAGAGTCTTTACGATATTGAACATGTAAAGTATAGTATTTTATTAATTTGAGAAACTATATATAGAAAACATGTTAAATCAAAAGGGTTCTTGTATTTTAAAATAGGTAATTCGTGTTATAAAATATTAACACAATAAAAATGATACTAATATAATATTAATTAGAATATACATGAATAACAAAAACAAATTGTGTCTCAATTGTTCTTTTGCAGATATTTGATGATCAATTGAAAAGTGAATCTCTCTTTTTATTGCTAATTCTTATTTGTTTTTAATCATAATTTATCAATAGATACAACTTCACAACTTTTTGTATAGAATTAAAAATTACATTGATTAATAGTCAAGCATTACAATGGTTTGTAAGAATTATAATTGTTCACACCAAAAATTGCAATGGTTCAACACCAAACGTTTGCAATAATACATCACTGTAATTTACCATTGTGGATTGTTGCGATAATCATAGTTATATTAGTTTATCTTTAAAGGTTACAAACAAAATAATTGCTATAGTTTTATAGATATATATTAAATATTTAAATCCAGAAACGAAATGATCTGAATATTTATAGATAATTTTAATACTTCCTCCGTTTCATATTAAGTGTCGTTGTAGAGAATTTTTTGCGTTACAAAATAAGTGTCGTTTTTAGTTTTCAATGTAAAATTTATCAATTTTATTATGTAATTAGTTTTTCTATTGGTTAAAATATGGTTTGGAGTATTATCTAAATGTATATAAAATAGATAGGATCAAGAATTAAAGATAACTCATTGAAGATTATGTATATTTGAGGATGGGAAAAATATAATCCTCAGCAATTTTGAGAATCCTTAAAAAAATGATGCAGTTTTTAAAATGAAAAAGACACATCTTTAGAGAAAAGTAACTTTTTAAAAAATTATTAGAAAATATGATAAAAATATATTTTTTTAGTTTTCTACAGTCTCTTAAAACTTAATGTAACTTTAACATGAAAACATAACATTTTATGAAAAAAACAATTTTTACATTTTAATAAACTCTTACAAACAAATACAATGTTTAGGTTGGAAAGATATAATCTTTTAACATTAACTGAGATTATTATTATTATTTTATAAAATGAATTCTCCTGCGATGTCGCATGGTTCTATTCCTATACTAGATGGCAATAATCAGAGTCTTTCAGATACAAGAAACGAGGAAGACATGGAAGAAAATAAAGTTAAAGGAAAACACTCCGAGAGAAAACAATAAAATGATGAATAGAAACACATCTTAGAAGACGAAAGACAAGGCACCGACCAATGCGGTGGCGATGAGCTGAGCTGGATAGGCAGAGAAAGTGGCAGCACTTGGTGCCGGAGCATGAGCCTTGGGATCATGGGACGATGGAGACTTAGCCGGACCATGGCTGACTCTGTTGTGCGACTCAGCAGTCATGACCAACACGGCCAAGACAATGCAGACGAAGGCAAAGCGCATCAAAGAACTTCTTGCTGCCATTCTGAGTCCTCTCCTTCTTATTCAGTTTATTTCTTTTGCTTTTCTCTGTGGGATCTATCAATAAACGGGTTCTTGAATATAGAGAGAGATTGTTTATAAGATGTTAGGAAATTTTAAAGTTTACGCATAAGAATGTGCCTTGGTGTAGAAACAATCATTATATGTTGTTCCGCTTAGACATTATTATTTTTAAACAATCATGGTGATGTGTTTGAAATATTAATTTGTTGGTGGACACCCATTTGTGGGGGTGATTTTATATGAACTGGAACAGCTGATTACTTCGTCGTCATCACCACGAGGAACGTGTCTTGCTTAAACCAAATTGTTTCGGTTTGATTACAGATTGATCCGGTCTGTTTTTGGCTCTTAAATTTGGTATGAAATCTAATTTTAGTATTGTGGTTTAGTTTCCTCACTTTGTGTCTTTGATTTTATCATAAAATCCAAGTTAATGGAATTATTAATGGAGATACATGATTAAACTGGACCTAAGAACAACGGTGAACCTCATTGAAATTTTTTAAAAATATATATTTTTAATTATTTTTTCAGATTAAAAAATAAATATCAACCAATCGCGGATCGCGACATATTGTGGAGACCAAAAATAATATAAAAATTCACTAAAAAATCTTTATTTAGAGATTTTAAATATTAAATCTTTGATTTTTTATATGTTCTATTAATTATTTTTTTTTTAAGGATTCTAGTTAACGATTTTCATTGTGGATGTTTTAAAGACCTCTTAAGAGTAGATTTTAATGGGCCTATATAAATACGTCGTTTGACTTTGGTCTCTCCTATGCTATTATTAGTTTTCTTCATGTCCCCTAGTATTGCCAAAGGTCCCTCATGTATTCAACACTCTACATTAGTCAAAATTTCAATTCTGTTCAGAATCAGTGAACCAATACAAAATCGAATATTTGGTAAGCCGCAAGTTTATTTTCGTCAAGATTATGATCCACAACGCAAAAGATAAATAATTTGAATACTAAGTAGTAGTTATTATATGACTAATGTCGTATAGATACACATACGACCACAAGCAGTAATGTCAGATTTACAAAATAGAAACCTCCAATTATATACGTCGAGGATAAATAATAATAACTGATTTTGACGTCATATACTCATATATATATATATATATATATATAACCCCGATGACCTAGTTTTCTATAGTAGTTTAATGCAAATTGAATGTTCACATAACAGATTAAGAATTCAATGAACAAAAAACTATTACAATTTGGATACATGAGATGGTTTTTTCTTTTATATAATATTCGGGTTGGCACCTAAAGATTAAAATAGACTATGACATATAGCCTAATAATTTCGAGATTGATCTATTACTATACCTTTTCTTTTTTTTTTTGCTAAAATCTATTACTATTAGAAAGTTTGCTATATGTTTTGATCCATATCGAGTATATGCATATATGTTTTTAAATACCTTGGGAATATTCCTTCGTGCATTAGTATCTTAATGCAAATTGTTTTTTTTTTTTTACTTTGTTATGTGCAACTAATATTAGTACGATCAAATATAAGTTATATATAAAAGGTGAAATAAGAATGATACTTAAAATAACGATTAGTTTCCCTTAAAGTTGGGGGACTAAGGAGGTCTTAGTGGATCAATGATTCAAGAGGGCTTCAGTATTTTATTTTATTCTCTCTTATTTATCTAATATTTATTATTTTTATATGAAATATGAACTTATTGATTAATTATTTGTCTATTTTTTCTTCTAAATTGCAGTTTATTAGAAAATACAGAATTTGTCAATAAAATCTATCAAACTGAATTTGGCTATGATATTTTATAATGCAAAATAATCGAAATACTACCTCCTCTGGTGGTATTTGATTTATATAAAAAAAATACTTCATATTATCAAAAATAAAATGAAAATTTTTGATACAAAAAAAATATTATTTGGAAATAAAATTTTATAATTTTAATATATTTCATAAACTAATAATAATATCAAATTATAGTAATCTATACTATTATTTAAGAAGTAAATTTGCTTAGTTGTCATGTTTTCCATAAGTTTAGGTAATTTTGTTTATTTATGATATTTTTAATATATATATATAATATATATATATATATATATTTTTTATTTTATTTTATAAACTAAACGGATTTATATAAATATATCATATTTTTAGTAAATCAGATAATTCTTGTGAATTATGTTGTTATCTTGAAATATATTTTTATATATAAAACTTAAATTATAAATTAAGATATAAGCACTATTATATTTATCTAAAACGAATTTATATTAATAATTTAATATTTAAATATAAAGAAAATGAATTTATATTAATAATTTAATAGTTTCCTAAAATAAGATAATCATTATGGATTATGTTGTTATGTTGAAAGTATATTTTCCTATTATAAAACTTAAAATTAAGATATAAAAATTATATTATTAATTAAATATAAATCATAATTAAACATAAATCATCAAAACAATTATTTGAAAAGTGAATTTGTTGATTTATCTCATGATACTAGATAATTTTGATCATTTATCAGAATTTCTATAATTTTGTTTATTATTGATTATAGAATTAAAACTAATTTATATTAATAATATGATATTTTAGAAAATAAGATAATTTTTAATATTATTAGTTAAATATAAATCATCCATCAAGAAAAAATATTTAAGAAGTGAATTTTCTGATTCAATAAGTTCTTAATGATTTTAGGTAATTTTAATTATATTTCATAATTTCTATAATCTTATATAATTATTATATAGTTAAAAACATTATGATATTATATTTTCAGAAAATAAATAATTTATGTGTTATATTGTTAGCTTGAAAATATGTTTTTCTAATATAAAATTTAAAATTAAGATATAAATATTATAATTAAATATAAATCAAGAAAAATAGTTATAGAAATATATTCTTTAAAATATTTCTGATGTTTGAGTTTTGTCATTGATAATTATTTGATATTTGATTTTTACTTTTTGAAAACATAAATAATAACTTATTATGCTGATTTTTAAATTAATGAAATATCAACTAATAAATATTCATAAGAGAACTATGCCCGCAAGTGCGGACAAAACACCTAGTTTTAAAATAAAATATTATTTTAAAAAATATTTAAAATTTAAAAAGATTTTTGTAGAAAAAAATACTCTGAAATTTCATTAAATATCTATAATTTTTTTTAAAAAAACTAAGTTAATCAAATCTCAATTTTTTTTTTTTGATTTACTTAAATCTTTAATTTTCTCAAATCTTTGATTCAATAAACTCCCAAATGTTTGAGTATTTTGACTCATTTTCCCGTTGAACCTAAAGATATAGTTTAGCCACGAGTCCACGACCAGCTTGTTATTTACCTTGTTTTCTTCCTATCTCTAACTTTAATCCAAAGCATTTTTTTTTTTTTTTTGTGTTGAATTAAAATTATATGATCAATCAAATATTTTGAATAGTAATAATATCTGACTTTCAATAAGTTTCCCTTTAATATGGATTTTTCTCCGAAACTAAGTTTATGACTGTTCAAAACAAATTATTCATAGCAGTATGTATTGCAATCTAATAAATAATACAGGCTCACTTGTACAATCTATATTTTGATAACTGTTTTTTACACTTCTAATAAACAGTGGTTTTATCTTATGATATGTATGTAAATGATTAACTTTACTAACTACTAATTTTAAGTATTAACTTTGGTATCGGTTTTTGAATTTTATTTATACATTTAAAAGAAATTCAAATCGATCTATTAAATACTAAACGACTTTAGTATTATACATTAGCATATAAAATAATTAAAAAATTTGCCGTGCATTTTAGACTATATGAGTTATACGACTATTCAATTTAAAATAATTAAATTAATATTACAGATTATGGCAAGTGAGTATAAAATTGACTTTCTTTATTAAGCAAGTTGCCTAATCATGAAATACAAAATAACATACGATGACGTAAAATGTGAGTCCTCAAAGGTTCATAACAAATATATAAAACATATTTTATAAGTAGAATAATGGGAAAAAAAAAGATGCTTTGATGACAGAATAAGCACAAGCTTTGAAGAAGGGGACCGATGGATCCAAACAAATTTCAAATCGTTTATTTTTTAGCCAATTGTTTTAACAAAATAGTAGCTAGTTAATTCCTTTAGTTGCCATTTAAAGTAATCGTGTACTAATTATAATCATAAACTCAATAAGAACTTCACAATAAAGCAAACATATAATACTTGCAAATTGTATTATATATGGAAAATGGATTAGAAAATATTTGAGTGTTTTAAATACTTGGAAAAGCTCAATCAAAATCCCAATTAGCTTAAGCATTGCTTTAGCGCAAACTCTGATAATTAATGAATCACAAGTTAGAAAGAAGTTTGTCGACAAGCTCATATTATTCTAAAACAACCTCACTAACTCTTTGTTTAAGCGTCTCGGCAATCATTATTTACTGCCTCTCTTATTAGTGTTATGCTTTAAATTTGGATTACTTGTCTTTTAGTCTGTAAGTGACCTGTCAAAAGAGAGAATATTTGCTATCCCCAACTCACCTTATTATTTATAGGCGTGCCCCATTACTTGATTCGAAGCTCTCTTCTTTTTACTTTTGGCTAACTCATCAAACTCTCTCTCTTTCTGCTTAATGTCATTAAGTAGAGCTTGCTTATTAAAAAAATGGGGAGAAAACCTTGCTGCGAAAAAATTGGATTGAAAAGAGGTCCATGGACTATAGAAGAAGATCATAGACTCATAAACTTCATTCTTAACAATGGCATCCATTGCTGGAGAGTTGTCCCCAAACTGGCAGGTTATACGTCTTTATTTGACCATACCTTTATCCGCATGGATAATTATGATTTTATTATTTTTATTGTAGTTTATGATGTTCTCTTGGGGGTTTAATTAGTCTTTACATGTGCATGAAGGTTTGCTGAGATGTGGGAAGAGCTGTAGATTGAGATGGATTAATTATCTGAGACCTGATCTCAAGAGAGGTGGTTTTACTGATGCTGAAGATGATCGGATTATGGAACTTCACTCTCAACTTGGCAATCGGTACTTCAAGATAATTCTCTTTTTTTTTCTTTTTTTTTTTTCTAAATCGTATAGTATCAGATAATTTTTTAAGAACGTCTCGCCATATGTTCCTGTGCTTGGCGGATCTAGGTCCAATATGTTTTATTCAATCTCCTTCACTTCAATTATTTTAATAAAACCTAAGTTCGACGTATATAGTTGTGCATGGGAAGGTGTTACTTTTGAGTGAAGAATCGTGGGAAAAGAATAATATATGTGGGGGATCTATACATATTACATATAGTGTAAGTTTTGACCATATGTAAGTATAAGTATTTGGTGTTAAAAAAAAAGAAGAAGACCATATGTATATCCTTCACGTGGTGAACTCTATCTGTTTAGTTGATTAGACTTGTAATATGAAGTGGCATTGATAGAATCAAGTCATATGATATATATGTTATAGTTATATGTAATATATGCTTACATGTTTTATGAATGTTTTGGACGTTATAGGTGGTCTAAAATTGCCTCACATTTCCCTGGTCGAACGGATAACGAGATAAAGAACCATTGGAATACGAAGATCAAAAAGAAGATGAAACATCTTGGTTTAGATCCAGCTACGCATGAAGCAATGGATAGTATCACCGACCAAACCGAATCTAAGCAGATAACAATTCCAAACATGTGTACTACCATCAAAGAAAAAGAAGAAACCAAGGATCAACCAAAGGATGATGTTATAATAGAAACATCGAAAACATTAATAGTTACCAATAATGGTAAAGAACAGGCAGAAAACAGCAAAAGTTTATATGCAGAAGAAGTAGACATCGGATCTCTATTCGAAATGCAAGACAAGGAGATATCTATCTCGTCTTCTTCGTTCTCTTCGTTATATAGCAATATTTCAAGAAGTGAATCTTCATCATATCTTGCAGGAGATTCAATTTCTTTAGAGCAATGGGACTTGGATATTACGGATCCTTTGATGCCATGGGATCTCTTCGCCAATCTTGGTGATACACTGTTCCTTTATGACAAAATGTGATATAACATTGTAAAATATCTATAAAATAATTATCGTAAATCGCTTCAGTTCATGTATGTAAGATGTGGAGTATGCATCGCGTACAATAATGTATTATAATTTCCTCATGCAATATTTATCATGTATGCATATATATATAGTGTTACAGTGACGATGTTTTTGTTGTAGTAATTAGTCACTATCACCATTATCGTAGTTCAGATAGTTGTTCGTAGTAATATATCAAGTTCTATATACAATTCTACCAAATTCTTGCCACACTTCCAATAAAAACAGGCAACATGTATATAGCAAAACCAACTCCCACATGTGCGACACACTAAGTATTGTTTATTTGTTTATTTTTTTATATATTTATATATGTATATAGATGTGTTCTTTATAGTTTGGTGAATTAGGTCGATTCGGCCTTTCATCTATTAAAAGAAACATTTACGGAGGAAATTATACACAAGAAACATATAATAAACAAAACTTGTGAAAATGACTTAAACCCTTTTAAAAGACAGAAGAAAAAACTTATGCATGTTTGAGAATTAACAATGAGTTCCAAAAATAAATTATACCTACCTACTTTTGCAAACACGAGAAACAGTGGTACCTACTTCATTCTAAAGCAGGCAAATGATTTATTTTATTTTGTGTAAATGAATTAAGTAATCACATTCTAGTAAAGTTTCGATAACCATTATTATTTTTCTTTAGAGCAAAAAAATATATTATTTTTGTTAAGATTTGATATGCTCGGACAAAAAAAAAATTAAAATATTTGTTTACACTTTTAGATCATGGTGATCAAAGTTGTTGGGATAAAAGAATGACGACAATGTTGCTTCCGTCAAGTGTTTGGAATTTTGCAATCATTGAATTAATTACTATAGTTATGTTATTAGTTTTCCTTAAACCTGAGTGCGATTAATTTAATTGAACTCAGTGTAACCGAATAAATATTTTTTTTGCAGTAATAGTAAAACATGTAAATTTTTGAAAGCTATGTCACATTTAAGTGTATTTTTGTTTTAAGTATTCTAAGTGTTTCTTTTTAAACGATCTCCACTAGGTATATTAAGAAAATAGAGACTAGCCTCACACATAAAAAGTTTATAAAACAATACAACTACCAAAAATATATGAGCAAGCTAATTTAAACCTAAATCTAACATTGGCACTAAGCTATAATATATATAACGTGAAGCTTAAGAAACAGAACCAAACAGCCATTGCAGCCGGAGGAGCTGAGGATGTGCTGGTACGGTCGTGATTCATGACCTCGACGATCATCTTCTGACCTTTTTCGCAATGACCAGACGTTCCACTCATGAAATAGTAAGGAACTGAGTGATCAAACATGAATCTGGTCTTGCCCGTATTCGAGTAGAATCTTGGGTGCGACGAGTTGCATTGCATATAACCCTCCTTGGTCACTTGCATCACGGAATCTTTCTTGTACTTGAATCCTTTTGATCCCATAAAACCAAACAAGGAAAACAAAAATAAAATTTGATGTGAAAAGATATCAACTTTTTAAGGGTTTAGGACATGCTTACGAATGGTGTCTCCAACTTGGAAACGTTGAGTGGAAGCCCAATCATTGAGACTTGTAGAAGCATTTGCAGGAGGAACTACCCAATGGAGTTTGTATTCATTTGAAGAGACGGAACCTGAAACCATTAACACAACTACTAGCCAAAGAAACATCTTTCTCGTATTTTTTTTTTTAACTTTCTTATCCCGAGAGTAAACAACAATGTGGTGAGTCTGGTTCCAGGGTTGATATTAGGTATTTTATAAGACAGAAGAGTTCGGTTGGTTACGTGAAGAGAGATAGTGGGGTGAGAGTGATGGGAGATAAGTGTTAGTGGCTGGTTAAATGCTTTTGATTAAAATTGAAACAAGCCGGAACGAAGGAGGTTTAAACACTCTGAGTCAGTTAGACCATGTTCAAAGGAGTATCTAAGAAACTTTTAAATGATGTATCTAAGTAATTATATGATTAAATTTAAATTAAAAAGACATAATTTAGATAGACATGATTTTATAATTGGAGGTTTTGGATCCACTTCTAAATGACAAGTGTCATTTTGTGAGAGGTGGTATTTCAAAAAAATGTTCTTTGTGTGTCCCTTAATTGTTCTTTGTCTCTCTCCCTTCCGTGAACCGATTGACTCAATTTCGTGATCGCAACATACATGAACAACTGAAAAATGATTTGGTTGAGCATATATGGCGTAAATTTGGTGCAAAGCAAAATAACTATTAATTGTTTAGTTTTATTTATGATTTTTCAATCTATGTTTAGTTGGTTCTACCATTGGAAAGGCTAAAATTAAACAAATATCTAAATTTTTTAATTTAATTATTTCCACTTAAAAAAATTGATTTAGAACTCTAATAGTGGATATATTGTTGGAGATGGTCTTAAAGTGTTTCCGTGGCTATTTGTAATAACCGTACATCTAAATTGATTTTGGTCCTGTCCGGTCCAGTTGAAGTCTTTAGCTTGATCTCAGGCCTTCACAGCTTAACAAGATCACTGATGTATCTAAACTTTATCACATAACTCGGAACATTGGATTTATCATAACCGTGTCTTCAGAAATCTTCATTACAGAACTCACTAAAGTACAGTGACAAGAGTCTGTTACAGCATCTTCTGTCTTGTACAATGTTGGTTACACTAATAACAAGAAATATGTCTCTATCTCCTACCCATTATCTTGTACATACTGTTACGCTCTCTTCTCTTTGTATGGTCGAGGATGATCCAAAAGATTAAATTCAATGGTGGCTCCATAACTCTTTCATATTTTATATGACGCTATGGTGGAAATATGCTAAATATTTCTTGTTCATCGAGTTCTTTTTATTTTTCATATTTCAATCTTGTATGAATTTATCCTTTTATGGGTTTGTTTATATTTTTTGGATATGTTTTTATCCTTTTGTGTTTTTTGTGCGGGTTTATTAGGATGTTTGTATTTTTGATGGATTAATAGAATAGTTGCCGATAATCAAAAACCTCGATGAGAATCCTCGGAGATCAAAAATCTGATTTTGAACACGTAGACTTAACCGTCCATGTTTATGGGCTCAGTGTATGCTAGCCCAATATGAAAAAACGCCCTGGTAATTCCCATTAGAGTTAGGAAAAATCCCTATGTATATAAATCGCACGATTAGAGAGGCAGCAAGTAGTGTTATCATATTAAGTTTGTTCAACTACACAATAAACAAAACCCTTGTTAACCATCTAACAACATCGATTATGCGAGCTGAAACGATGATAATCGAAGGCGTGAATGGTTCGAGAACGCGGTCAATATATTACGGAATAGCTGTATCATCTCCTGGTTGTATAACGCTAATGTTAATACAAGCATGGTCATCTATGTTCATTGATCTCAATCTTTCTCTCTATTATTTTTCTCGTACTGACACTTATAATTGGGTATCTGTCAAAAGCATAAAGGTTAAGGTTGTGCTTCTAAGCTTGGTACTGTCTTAGAATAAGTGTCTTTTTGAGAGTGTATTACTATATTCCAAATCGAAGCTGCATGCATATATTGTAACACCCGCATTTTCCAAAATAATAAAATAAATAAAAATGTCTGAAATCTCCATTTATTAAATCGTATAAATCATCTCCAAACTCCATAAATCCAAATAACATAATAAATCTCAAAAATAACGATAAAAACAAGTCTGAAAATAAATAAATAAAACTCCCAAAAGCACCAGTCCGAAATGATTACTCATGATCGTCAGTATCACCTGAAATGGGGAAAGAAAGAAGGGTGAGTAACAGGGGAGTCACTCAGTGAGGTATGGGATGCTAAACCACAAACCACTGACTCAGTACATAGCACTACGACTATGTAGGCATAGCTCTAGCATGAGACAATCACGGTGTCTATTACACCTCACAGAACAATCATATGCCTAGAGCACCATACAACAACAATCAATGCGATGATAGTACATAGCTATTCTCTGCACCCCGCATTCTCCTCATGCGGATATAAATATATAACTCTACAGACGTCGCTAGTACGGTAGTCCACTCCATACCCCCGCAATCTCTACGGCGCGCTAGTACAAACGTCTCTGTACCCCACAATCTCCACACAAGGCGGCGCTAGCACAGACGTCTATGTGCCCCCGCAATCTCCTCAAACAAGGCGTCGCTAGTACAGACGTCTCTGCACCCCCGCAATCTCTCATACATGGACTTATATATATACATATACATATATCAACTCTTAACATCAATCATGTCACACAACCGTTGAATCATCTATTATCCTATTTCCGGTTTAACAATCAATAATAATAAATAAACAAACAAGACTCTCAAATAGACTCGATTCACAGAGACGGATCATGTTTCGCAACTAAACTTTTCATAACAATAGTACTAAACTAGCTCGGGATTTAAACGGAGTAGCCCTCACCTTGGCCAAGATCGATGAACATGAAATGGATCGAAAAATAATAAAATGACTTGATCACCAAGAAACACTAGGGTTCACCATGGATCTCGATCTCACCCACAACCCATCAGATCGGAAAAGAACATGAACAAAATAACAAGACACATGATTAAAATATAATTAATCTAGGGTTTATAATATGAATGTTTACTTGTATCCCAAGAAAATGAGAAATAAGGCATTAAACCTTATCGTATTGATCACGTGCTCCACATCACCAATCAATACGGAACGTCACTTACGTAGCATCGATCTTACAACATGAATCATCTCTTGTGACCAAGGCTCACAGTGATGAAGATCTATGACGGCGGTGACAAAACGTGGTGGCTCTCCACATGACTCACGTCTTCTCTACTCATGAAACCTCACGCCATGGGCTTGACGACGCAAGGCAAGACTTCCCGATGGTACATGCAGCTCCTCTGGTGGTGGTGACTCGCCGTGGTGATGAACGGAGACAACAAAGATAACACCTCTTCTTTACGCAAACCATCATAGAAACCAAGAAGGGATGAAACAATGGAGAAGAAGGAGAGCCACTAGAGAGAGGTCAATGGTGGCTGCTCTTTTATTTTTAAACGAAGGAGGAGATACAAGCATATATAATTAGGTATAGAAAACCTCACGTATAATTGTAACTAGATTTTGACCCGCGCTTGAAAGCGCGAAAATTTTTTATGATTAAAAATTTATATAATTGGATTTTGTCTTAATTTAAAGAATATGTTGATATAAAATCAGTTCACCAAAATTTGTGGTGATGATTATTTTTCATTAGTTTTTAGTTTCAGTTTTTATTTTTAGATTTTGGTTTTTAGGTTTTAAGTTTCTACTTTTCATTTTCAATTTTTGGTTTGGGTTTTTAATTTTTAAAACCGCTGAGTTAGTTTGAACTAATATTACCAACAAACAAATCTCAAATAATCGAACATCTAATTTAAAACTGAAAAGATGATAACAATTTTTTTTAAAAAAAATTGAAATAATTTATTTTGTAAATAAACAAAGCAAAAAAATAAAACATGTGTTTTCAGCTTTTGGTTTTGGATTTAGTTTTTAAATTTGGTTTTTGGTTTTTCTTTACATTTTTTTAATCAATAAATTATTTAAGAAAAAGAAAATAATTAATTATTTAAAAATTACTATTGAAATTTATCAAAACAAAGGGAATGTTATTTAAAAAAAAAAATATTAACATGTTTGAAAGTACATGATTTAAAGAAATGATTAATAATAGATAATTTTGTTTTGTTAAAAATATTAAATATCTTTTGGGTCTGAAAATAATAATTGATTTTTTGATCTTTTAAGGTGAAAAGTTTATTCAATGTTTTTGGAGTTTTTTTCTTAATACTAAGCCAAAAACCCAAACTATATAATTTGTTCAAAAAATAAAAGTAAGCCCAAGACTATATTCCATAAATAACCACTGGTTTAATTTAAGTATAATTAGTAGATTTCCATATTCCATATTTTGATGATATATATTCTTTTAGAACATTCCATATTTGTAGGAGAAAATATGTGTTTTTGGTATACACATAGATACCTGCCGTATTTTGAAGGTAGTTTACATTAATGTCGTCTCTTTACATTAATTGTGTTGGTTTAATTTAAGTAATACGGTTCAATCAATTATATGACTTATATTATTTGTAACATTCTAGAAAGAGTCCAAATTTAAATGACAACTTGTATCAGTAGATAAAAAGAATGACTCTATTTTAATAGAGTAGATACAAACTTAACCGGTTTAAGAGTAAAATTAGTTTGGTCAAAGAATTAATTAAAACTAGGAAAACCGGTTTAGAAAACCGGGTCGTTACATATATAGCAACGAAAGCGAAGCGAGGCTCCGAGACAGTTTATGGGGAACGTATAGGAACCACTTGTTTAAACAGGGGTGATACTGGGACTCGAGAGCTTTCTATTCGAGTACAGTTACCTACAAAAATTAAAATGTTTTTACATCAGTATAGTATACACTGAAATTTACATCAGGAACATTCTATTTAATGAAATATTATAAATGTATATAAAATTCTCATCCTGCATTGTGGCCCATATTATAAGAATTGATTTATTAACATTGTAGAAAAAATAGTTTTTTATATTTCACAACACTAAATATATTTTACATTTTAAATATGATTTAGTTTATATTCAAAAATTAATATTACTCTAATAAAAGTAACAATATTTTAA